AAAAAAAAAAAAAAAAAAATAAAATAAAATAAAATAGAAGAGACTGTACCGGTGAACCTGGTTCTGAATTTCAAATGGAAAGCTGAGGACCAAAATAGCCATTTGTAGACCCTAGCTGCACCTCATCCATGGCAACAGTGTCAGGTTCCTTGGTGATGGCTTAACTAAGCATGATTTGAATAGCCGAGGAGAACGTCGCCTTTATGCTGACCTCTTACTTCCTGTTAGTTTCCTTTCTGGACCTGTTATCATTCTGTGGTAGGAATCCTGTGTAGAGAAAATGGTGTGTAGTGCCTAGAACAATACAGCAACATGAAGTAGAAAGGTTGATTGTGCTTGAAGATTTCTTTTACACTAAAGCTAATTCCTGGCTTTCTTACTTTCCAAAGAAAGCCATGTAAATTTCCTGATTCAGTATGGCAATAAAAAGCCTATTTAGAATTGTTTGAATAACAAGATATACAATTTCTCAAGAACATCTGAACGGATGACTATCTTCCCTGGATAGAAATGTGTGCACCTAAACTCATACAGATGTACCCATCAAATACCGGAGATTCAATTTTTAGTATATGTTCACCTTGTTAGACTTCAGGGATGATGGTACACTCCTGTAACCCCAGCACTCTGGAGGGCTGCGGATAGCAAGTTTGAACTCAGCTTGGACAACTTAGTGACCCAGTGATGTAGCTCAGTGCAAAGGCCCTGGGTTCAATCATCAGTACTTCAAAAAACAAAAGCAAAAACAAAAACAAAACCCAAACATTTTGGAAATTAAATATTTTTCATGGGAAATAATAACGTTTTTGAAAAGTACTACCTTGGGTACTTCTAGCCTTTCTCCCAGGTTTGTAGCTCTTTTTACTTTATATAATGCTAGGATGTTTTAAGATAAGTAACAACAACAAAAACAACAAAATAAGAGCATTCAATTCCAGAAGCAATTTTAACATGGATTTTGATAAAATACAAATTATCAGGATAAAGCCATTCAATTTTGACTGAAGTGATGTTAAATTATACTAAATCTATATCTATTCTGTGTATTGTTATAAGAGTACAGTAAAAGTGCTCTTAAAAATTCTAGTCAGTGTCAGAGAGATAACAATTCAAATTCAATTCTTTGACAAAGGAGGCTAATATTCAAGTATTATGTTAAACATTTTACTAAAGATTTCAGGAGATAATGCAAAAGGGGATAGAGCTGTTGGAAAGATTTTAATAGATAGACAACTTACCAATAAGGAACTAAATTCTAGCCATTATATAACTCAGTTTAAAATACTGCTTACCTGAGGTCTAAAATATAAAATATCAGGAGTTCAAACATTTTTGGGGAATTCTAGACAAGGTTTTTCTCCTACGTAATAACTGCACAATAACCTATGAGTTTCAAGAATAAAAAGAAAGATTACTTGTGAATTTGCTAACAGTGCTTCCTTACTACATCTTAGTATTACCTTGTAAGAGGTTTAATTAAGCCTTTTCAGTTTTTGATAACCCTTATGAATTTTTGTAACATAGAGCATAATGTTTACACTCCATTTGTATAGACACTGATATTTTGTAATGCAAAATAGCAAGGTGCCATTGTCCACATAAGGACTTCCTGCACACACTGACAACAGAGTAGCACTTTACTAGTTAACAGCTGACAGTAAAGAATGATGATTTCCCCCATCTTTCCAGTGTCTCTGGGCATTTCTGATTTAGTTCTGGGAAAGAGCACAAGTTGGAATCAAATTGTAGAACAGGAAAAAAGAATTTTTAACGAAGTTATTGGTCTCAGTCAAACACTGGATGTTTAACCTTGAATCAGCAAGCTGGAATCTGTATTTTCCTAAGAACTATCAAGTAAATATAACTTTCAATTCTACAGCTCGACTAAGAGGACTAAGTGAAATATCCTTTGGGAGCTGTGAGTTCAAGTTTCTGGCCTATGGGAAATTTCATACACAATCTGAGGGTAGAATGTAATTCTCGGCAAAACATGGAGATGCTTCAACAAAATGGGCCTTAAAATAATAGCATTTCTTATAAAGAGAATCCCTGA